CATCATTCATCACTGATCATGAATCAGCTCATAGCCTGAGATCAATATGTGATACACTAAATTTTTTATAATATATTAGAAGTCATATATATATATATATACTATATATAATATATATGTGTGCTGTGCGTGCGTATAGTATACTATATATATGGACGCATGCGCACACACATATATAATATGTATGTACATTGTGTACATATATATATAATATATATATATATATATATATAATATATATAGATATATATCATATATATATAATATATATGTCATATATATATATCTGGACTATAAAGTTTTCACAACAAAAAATCACATGATTATAAGGTGGTATAATGTATATATCACTATAAGATATACGCATGCACATATATAATATAGTAACTAGCATTATTGTGCCATGGTTGATTGACAGTACTTTTGCGTGATATACACACACACACATATATATATATCTATATATATATATATATACATTTAATATCTATAATATATATACAGTTATATATATAAGTGTGTTTAAAAGGAATCGAAATGCTGCTTACCTGGGTCGTCTGGCTAGGGATAGCCTCACGTTGATTCCATGTTGACAGGTTTACTGTGATAGTCTTCTATCCATCGCCGGTATTCGACCCGTAGGTTGAGTCCGTATGGTGGATGCGTGTTTAGATTGTGGAGCCATAGGCTTCTCTTTTCTTTCTGTGCGGATCGTGCGGGATGTTCGGGTGGACGAGAAAATTTTTTCAAGGCCCCTGCACTGAAAATCCGCTGCGGTGTGTGTGTCGCGTGTAAAATGAGCACTAACGGGTCTGCTCATGTCTCGTTTGTTATGTCACGGAGGTGTTCAACTATGCGATCTTTGAGTTTACGCTGTGTCTCTCCTATGTATATGGCCGCGGGGCATTTGCGACAGGAGATTTCGTAGACGAGGTTGTGGAGATGTGATGTATTTCGCGATGGGGGGGAAGGGTAAGACCGGGTGGACGTTGACCGTGCTGCACTGGAGCAGCGAGTACGCCTGCATGGGCGTGTGCCTGCGTGGAGGGTGGCGACCATTAGCCTGTGTGCATGAGGGATAGGGTGTGGGGGAAATTTTGCGCGTATGAGCGCGTCCTTCAAATTTTACCTCTGCTCTAGGGCGAAGATAGGGCGGATGGTGCGTGAATGTGGTTCAGGGCCGGTGAGGCTGATAGAACGTGCCAGTGTTTTTGGATGATCTGTTGATCTGTGGGTTGCTGGGTGTATTTCCATGATAAAGGGAATTCTTAGGTTGTGTTTATTGCTTTTGGGGTTTGGGTTTTAGCAGTATTCTCCGTGAGCAGTGCTGACGCTTTTTTGTATGGACTTATCTGAGGTCAGTGACTTGTAGCCCGTTTTAGAATCAGGTGTTGAACTCCTGGCAGCGCCGTGTCGAAACGCGCGCGTTGTTTGAGCAGATCCATTTTAGGCGGAGAATTGCCGTGGGGATGTTGCTATGATGTGCCTTTGGGTGAGCAGAATCTTGTCCTGAGGTATGGGTGGCAGTCTGTGGGTTTACAGTATACGTCTGTGTGTAGGGACCCCTTGTCGATGATTACCGTACGTCTAGAAAGGGAGGCATAGCGAGCTGTGAGATCCGTGAATTTGATGGTGTAGGCATGGAATCTATTGAGGTTTGTGACAAAAGAGTCCAGGCCATAGTGCCATGGGTCCAGATAACGAAGATATCGTCAATATATCTCTTCCAGATGAGCGCGTGGTGTGTTGCGGATGATAGAACTTGCGTTCTAGATTGTCCATGAAGAGGTTGCTTAAGACGGTGCATTTTGGAGCCATAGCTGGCCTTGTATTTGTAAGTAGTGCGTGCTTTGTTGAACTGAAAGTTGTTTCGTCAGAGTCAGTTCTGCTATGTCTGCTGGAATTCGGTGGGAAGGTTTCTGCTGGTGTCCGGTCGTGTGTCTAGGCTTGGCGCAGCGCTGTATCCCTTCGTCGTGGGGGTGTTAGTGTAGAGAGAGCTAACTCCAGTGTACAGATAAGTGCTCGGGAGGTATGGGGAAGTTATTAATGAAAGATAGGAAGTCTACAGTGTCCCTAATGTACGAGGGTATGTTGCGTACAAGGTATTGATGTGGTGGTCCACGAAAGGCGAGATGATTTTCGGTTGGGCTATTGTTTGCGGATAGGGATGGGTCTACCGGGTTGCCTTGTTGTGCACTTTGGCAGGATATAGAAAGTTTTGGTGTACGGGTATCTTGCGCGTGAGCACCGAGTATTCTTTATGTTGATTTCTCCGGTGTTATACGCCTTGAGGGGAGGATTCGTCTATCTCTATTCTGTGTCTAGCGGGTGAGTCGGTATGTTTGTGGAGAATAGTGTGGTAGTATTGTTGAGCTTCTCATGCATTCTGCCGATGTAGTCTACGCGTTCATGGATTGCTATACCCCACCCTTATCGCAAGGGTTGATGACTAGATCTTCGTTGTTGGTCAGTGACTCAGCGCTAAGGTCGCTGTTTGGTAGGAAAATTATGGAAATGGGGGCTTTAGATTGGTGCAGGCAGCGCCCCTGAGTACCAGTTTGATTGAAAGTTTCCAGTACTGGGTTTCTGTTGGGTGAGGAGTCCATGTGCAGAGGATCGGTCTTTAAATCGATCCTGGTGCTTCTGGGCAGTTTGTTTGGAGCCCGAAGAATTCCTTCAGTTGAGGCGACGGACAGAAATTTTTGAGGCTGCCTAGAGATGGCGGAACCGGTCCGGGGGGCCGGGGTGTAGGACAGGATAGCCCAGTCCCTTGCCCAGTACGTTTTTTTCTTCCGTCGTACGGGTGAGTACGAGGAAAGGGTGAACAGAGGCGATATTCGAGAATGCGTGTGTGTTATTCGCCGTTTCGTTATAGTGTTTGGGTATTTTTTTGGGGGCGGGGTTATATTGCTTTTAAGGGGGTGTCAGCGTGTTTATTGAACGTGTTGTCGTGTTGAGGTATTCTTCAACCCCGTGTATTTGTGTCCTTCGCTTTTTTAGTCTATGAGTGCCTATAAAAGTCCTCAGTGGCAGACTATTCCCTCGGGAAGGTTATTTCTTAGATGGCTCGCGATGAGTCTCTGCGTGGAGCATGTGAGATCCTGTGCCTGAGGGCGTGTTTTCGCTGTTTGTTGTTTGTGATAGCGACCTAGGAAGGGCCCTGTTGTAGGTTCGCCCCCTTCCTGCCGCCCTTCACGTCTTTTGGGGGTTCTTATTGCGGTCTGGCGTCTCAGTGTGGCTCGTGTTTCGTTTCAGTGCGCCGCGCTCTCTCGTTGCTCTTTCCCCCATGTTCTTTATTGTAATGCTTTCAGGCTTCTTGTCGCGTATGGATTGTGCCGCCCTCTGTGCCTGCGCGTCGTTGAGTTATCCACCCAGGTTCTACTTTCTCCGGCTCTCTTAGGTGGAGGCAGCCAGTGATTTCATCACCAGTTCACCCGCGGGTATGATGTTAATTTCCTGCGCTTAATTCAATTCAATTCAACTAAAATTATTTACTCAGCCACCAATTAGCAAAGATACAATGATACAGAAAAACATTAATGTGAGGGTTGAAGGGGTAGCGAAAGGACCATAAGGTCATTCGAGTCAAGCCTAATCCTTTATATGGGACAGTAGAACATAATATTGAGCACATAGATATTCGTGGTATTCAATAGGAAAGTTAAGATACAATTTGCAAATAGAAGTGTAATGGTGCCAGTTATATTACAGTGTAACAAACATTCGAACAGTAGCAGTTTACTGGAGTAAGTAAAGCTACCATAAATAATTTCGTACATAAGAATATAATCGAAATTTGATAACTTAAAGTGCAGAGTAGCGATACATATCAATCTTGGCCGGTATCACGTCATATACAGAACAGGCATTTAAAAAATAACAAAATATAGTTACTAATTCAAAAGAAACATTTATACGAGCTCGCTCAATAATATTTGGAGACTAAGTACATTCCGCAAGAAGCTGACATGCCTTCATTATCTGATATCACCGAATAGTCGTGTTAAGGCTAATCAGGAGATTTTTTAGTAATTATGAGTCAGTGTAAATTGTTAATACAAAAATAAATAATATATCAGTAATATAAGACCGGATTTGATTAACTGTCAAACAAACAAAGGGGAGAACGGATAACAATTGCTCATCAAGGTGGTTACATTCACAAGGTTAAGTCAAGTAATGTGCAAGATATATATTACGAGTTGATAACAGACCAGGAACAGTAATCCGTTATATAGTAATATAGGTACAATAAATAATTTGTGACCCGAGAAGTGATAATGAATTTGCTGAAATAAGTTGAGATTAAGATAATTCACATATTGGGTATATAGTATACAGTTATACATAACGGCCATAAAACAAAAACTATACAGGAATATAGCCCCCGGAATTGATACTGTCAAAACAAAAAAGAGAGGCAGCGATAACAATTGCTGCTCATCAAGCGTGCTACAGTCACAAGGTAAAGCTCACAGACAATAACAGATTTTTATTTTCGGAACTTTATAGAAATAGAAATAAACAGGTTGATCTACATATATATATACAAAAAATAATAATACAGTATAATATATAGTTAGTATTACAGTTATGAATTTGAGTAGCTATAACGCACTTAAGTAGGGCCACGGAATGAATTCCTTAGCAATATTACGGAGGAGAACACTGACAGCTCTTGCTGAGCCAGGTTCAAGATTCAAGGAATCCTGTTCAGTGTAAGACTATATTTGTTACAAGGTTTCCAATTGGCTTACAAGGTGCGTTTGGGTTTGGCATCATACTAAGTAAATAGTGGATATGATTAATGCGAGAAACAAAAAGAATATTTGACAGTTAGGATGTCTTTATATTTATATTTTAGTTGTTTTAAAAGAGCAAGTTGGTGGGAATTCCAGAGTAAGTTCATTCCATAACTTCGCCTCCTTTGAATTTGATTCGGTTCGAGCCCATAAGCTGTTCATGGACTCTGTCTATAAGTAGTTTTGTCTGCGCGCTTTCCTGGTTATGGTCATGACGTCTGATAGTTTGGAAAACGTAGGCTGCTAAATAGAACCCGGTAACATGCCATGTTTATATTTTGTACCATGCAACAATATAAGTGTCGTACTTGTGTAGGTCTGATAGTTTTAATAATTTAAGGGAGGTGAATTGAAGGGGTGTCCGTATCCCTAAAGGTGGCAAATGTGATGAGTTTCGCTACCGTGGTTATGAGTGGTATTTACATGGTTTCAAGCGTGTATATCTAGCATTGCCCCATGTTAAGAATTCCGTATTGTAGTTAAGGGTAGATTAGAGAAAACGCATAGTATAGTAATTTTAACGTCAAGGTGTCATACATAATGTCTTGATTTTTGAAAAGATAGCCTTAGGTTTTGGTGACTTTATATCGTGATATGTTTTAATATGGTATCCATGTAAGATTGGTTTCCAGGTAAAGAGCCGCAGATCATGTCATTAACTGTTTTCTTGTTTGATTTTTATTCCGACGTCCATACTAAGTTTAAAATTGTTGTATTTGCCTGTTCTGTGATGTACTGCATATTGATCATATATTTCGTGTTTTTTTGTAGTGACCGATAGTCTGTTTGATCTTTAGCCATGAATCTACTTTACTATTTCTTGGCTTAGACCATTGTATTGAAGATGGTGAGGCTGAATGTATAGAAATAGGTTTAGTATCATACAGCAAATAGTCGGCTATTGAAATTAGAGCAACAACAGTGTAGTCAGTGATAGTAGATTAGGAATAATGCTGGGCCAAGGTGTTGATCCTTGAGCGCACGCCACTATTTGAAATCAAGTGACAGAGGATAAGTGTTCAGTCGATTGACTGTAATAGTGTTTTTCTGTTGCGGTAAATCGAGGCGAAGTTTTTCAGGGGCAACTCCCTCTTATACCATAGTACTTCAGTTTGTTTAAAGTAGGTTCGGTGTTCACGAGGTTCCAAACGCCTTTGATAGAGTCTAGGATCATACCACATGTGTATAACCTTACTATCAAGTGAGGGTTAGGTATCTGATCAGCTTATTCTCCCGCTGTGTTGGCTAGTCGGTAGTGGGTGACCTTCTCCTGAAGCCGAATGGTATTTGGTTTTGTATGATTATTTTTTCGGTTAAAGAATTTTATTAGCTAGTGTAACATATTTTCTGCAGAATAGTTAGCCTACGGTGATTAAAGAGATATCGGCCTGTAAGTTAGATGGATCTTCTGGTAGTCATCTTTTCATAGAGCTCTTATTTTTGGCCCAATTTAGACCAAGTCAGGGAAATACTCCGTCTGATACACAGTTGTGTTGAATTATCTTTGAGCGAAGACTGGGGCTATTGTCGATTAGCAAATTTGATAGAATTTGATCGCGCCGAATATTTTCGGGACCTGCGTGATTTATTGGAGTATTCAACCCTGGTCGCACATTAGAGCACTGACTCTCCTGTATTCAGTGGGACTGATAAAGAAATGATTCTATTTTATACTTGGTGTGCCAGGTATCGTCATGCAAGTTATTTATTGCGTTGAGGTATTTTTCTCCATGTTTATAGGCCTATATTGAGAAGTAATTATTAAACGATTTCCGTCATCTCTTTTTATATCCTTAGTTGCTTTCCATCTGCTAGCTAATTTCTTCGGGGATGAGTCAGTTCTATTGTTCGGTTCTGATTATACCTATTAAGTGTGGGTCCAAATTTTCTTCATATTATTTATTTAGGTCAATTATGTTGCCGGTAGGAAGTACAGCGTTTGTTCTGCCTCTGTTTTGTATGGTTAAAGCCTTGTTTGAGTACAGTTTATAGAATTCTTTTTTATAAGTTCAATTAGATAATTTGTGGTGTTTGTACATTACATTCTTTCTTCTTTATCGATGCAGAGTATACTTTCTGTTATCCAAGCTTTGCAAATTGTAATAGTCTCCTTTCTTGTCTAGTTAGGACGTGGGGGAGCAAAATGCGTCAAGTTATTTTAAAATTGTGATATAGATTGTTCACAAGCATTGTTTGTTGAGCTGTGATTCAGGTTTTGTTATATTAATTTCTTGTATGAAGTTCATTAAGAATGTCCACTTTATCGAAGTTAGATGTGTCTCTTATATTTATACGAGTATAGGCGGCAGCACTAGTACGATGTACGTACACACGCACGCACGCACGCACGCGTACTTCAACACGCACGCACACACTCATGCACGCACGTGTACGTGCACACGCATGCACGCACGCACGCCTACGTGCACATGCACACGCGCGCACGCACGGACGCATGCACGCACGTGTACGTGTACTTGCACACGCACGCATACACTCATGCACGCACGTGCGGTGTGCGTGCATGTACGCACCCTCGCATGCACGCACGTGTACCTGCACGCACGCACACATGCACATGTACGCACTCACGCATGCACGCACATGTACGTGCAAACGCACGCACGCACGAACGCACGTGTACGTACGCACGCACGCACGCACGTATACGTACACACGCACGCACGCACGTATACGTACACACGCACGCACGCACGTATACGTACACACGCACGCACGTTTACATACACACACACGCACGCACGCATGCATAATAAATCGGTAATAATCGCTATCGGGTTTTG